AAAAAAAAAATAAAAAAAAAAAAAAAAAAAGCCACATCAAAAACTGTTCTTATAAAGTTTGACACTTTGCCTATCCACACATCTTCAATGCTTATCTTTTAGTAGCTTATAAGAATATCTTCCCTCCTGAAAACCAGGAAGGAAACAGCTAACTACTCTTTCTTGGATTAATGGGCCTATTTCTATCCTTTTCACAAAGCAAAAAATCTCTTCCTCATCCTAACCAAATATTTATATAATTAGTCTCTACCCACCATCATGACACTGACTCATTCTACTTTACTTGGGATAGTCAGAAACTCTCTGCTAGTCACTCTTTAAGAGACTGATGCTTCTTCTAGCTCAGGACACAGTGAATACGTCACTTACCTTCTGTACCTGCAGCTGAGCTGTGGTCTGGTCCTGTTCCAAGCGGATTGGACCCAGCGCCATCAGTTTCCGTTTTGTTTCAGCAACCCAAGCTAGTTCTGCATCAGCAGCTTGCTCATACTAACAGACATATTGAAGAAAAATGGACATATTACAGCCAACGTCCTCCTTCTGAGAATTCTAATTTATTCAACATAGAAAGGCCTAGATTTTCAGTAACACAGTTTACATCTCACAAAGTAAAGCCAAAATTGGTGACAATTTCATAAAATCACAAATCAAGATGCAGACAATTTAGAGTTGATCCTACTTCAACAAATATGAGTTGATCTTATTTCAACTTCTTTAGAAAGACATTACAGGACCCAGTGAGTGGTTCTACAGCTAGAAACAACCATGGAAACCAAGACTCTTCAAAAGAAATACACTTTCTAATGAGAGTACTTTTTTGAGGCTGTGCTCTTTTTCTGCCAATCCTCTTTCCTACCCATGCTCTAAACAGTAGCAGTCATGTGTTTAAATACAAACTACCATGGCGGCAGACGGCTGAGTCAAGTTAACTTGAAGTACTTGCTCAGTTGAAGAACCCTAAGGCCCCAGAAGAACACCAAACCTTTAAATGGAATGCAATAACGTATGCAATGCCATCAACAAATACAAAACCTAAGAACATGTTCTATGTGACCATTGTTTAATGAGGTCCCTCAATCTTTTACCTCTTCCTCGTCAACGTTGCCGAATTACACTAATACTTAAAGGAAAGTGAGTTCCCAAGCGTGATAAATTTCACACTGAAATATCTGGCCAGGATGAGGGATATTAATTAAGACATAACAGGAATGCACTTGGCATCAGAGCAAACTTCTCTGTGGTTCAGAAAGCATTTGCTTATCACTATGAACTCAAGGAGTCATGTTATATTAATTTATTTTTTGCACCATGGCACATTAATAGGTGCATATCCAGCTACAAAGAAAAGCAAATAACTTTTCCCAGAAAGTAGGAAGGAAAAAGGATTGAGGGAAATATGACACCTGTGTTTACTTGGGAGGGTTCTATTTTGGATGGCTCTGCTATTTTGGTTAGCATATTTGATAGTAATTATAGTTCTTGGTTCTGTCCCCTTTTCCATCTAATGCTAAAACAGCTGATTATGTCAAACTAAGATTGTGATGCACTTGGACCTTTTGGATCTAGATATTATCTACCCCCATCACCATCTGCCTCTTAGCAGGGCAGTAGCAAGGAAAGGGCTCACACACTCTCTTCTCCAAGTTCTTTTCTGCTCAAAGGGGTCAAGTATTTTTGGTCAAACCTAGATCCATCCTCACTTACCTTTACCTAATCAGTTCCCACCACTGAAATGATTCGTTGCATCAGATTTAGCTTGATCTCATTTATTCCTATTCCTGAGCCTGTATTTATGTGGGTCATAGTTTTGTACTTCACGCTGCCTAAAATATTAATGCAGAGGTGTTTATAAAGATTACCTGTTGTGATCTCTGAATAGCAGCATCGATTTCATCCACCCTTTGTCCAACAGTGTCACTGACCAGCTTGTACTGCTCATTGGCATCAGACACAAGTTTATCCAGCCCTTCTCTGGCTCTCCAGGGCACCAGCTCTAAGAGAGCACGGCTCACCTCATTCACTGTGTCCAACACCAGCCTGTGCTCCATGACCTCCTTCTTTAGCTCCTAAAGAGGGAAAAAAGTTTTCAGGCCATCCCTTGCTAAATTAAGCACATTAGCAGCTGTGCTGGGTGGAAAGTGCTCTCTCTACCACACATCCCAGCAGGGCTCTGACCTCCTTCCTTCACTTATTTATTTTTTTTCTTGTCTCAGATTTTTCAATCACTCCACAGCCTGACTTTAGGCTTAGCCGCTTAGAACTGTCTGCAAGACTTCTCCAGCCAGACTGTCTCTGGGTAACATGAATGGTGCTTTTTGCTTTTTTTCTCCTTACTTCAGTAGAAATGATAAATAATGCTTTAATCATAGGTATTTACCTCAACAAATACCTACACAGTATTTCTGCACATCTAGAACTGCACTAGATCCTGCAGGAGAATCAAACATAACCATGAAGTACTCTTTTAGAGAATGAACTATGACAGTAAATTCTACAATGTTGCATATAAAGCAAGCTTCTTACGGTTTTTTTTTTTAACAGTTTTTTAAAACAATTTTATTTATTTTTGGCTGCGTTGGGTCTTCATTGCTGTGCGCAGGCTTTCTCTAGTTGCAGCGAGCAGGGGCTACTCTTTGTTGTAGTGTGCGGGCTTCTCACTGCGGTGGCTTCTCTTGTTGCAGAGCACGGGCTCTAGGTGCGCGAGCTTCAGTAGTTGTGGCTCGCAGGCTCAGTAGTTGTGGCGCATGGGCTTAGCTGCTCCGCGGCATGTGGGATCTTCTTGGACCGGGGCTCGAACCCATGTCCCCTGCATTGGCAGGTGGATTCTTAACCACTGCGCCATCAGGGAAGCCCTTCCTAGGGTTTTGAGACAATCTTTTTTCTTCTTCAGACCATAACAAGTGCTTTATATAGGTCTGTATATCAAATTTTATTTTCCAAGAATAAACGAAAAACAAGGCAGGCAGAAATTTCTGGTTTACATTTAAGGTATAGATAGTTGGTATTAAACACAAGAATTTAAGGATTCTAAGAGAATTCTAAGAGAACTTAAGGATTCTAAGAGGAAAAATTTTTTCCCTTTACAGTGTGAAATGACAGCTCACCTTCTGCCTTTGCTGAAACTGGGGTATTTGCTCCCCTGTGGGAGACTGTCCTCCACTGGCTGCCAGCTCCTCCTCCACTCCCCTCAGCCACCAGGTCAGTTCCTCATACGTGGACTGGAACTTGGCGGCCAGCTGCCGAGCTTGCTCTAAGGTTCTGAGGGCCTTGGAGCTAGTGAGTGTGATGTCTGCATAGCGAGTCTTTATGCCATCCAGTTTCTCTTGGATAAGCAATACCTCTTCACCTGTGGGAGACAGCACACAATTATTCACATTTAATAGGATATGAGGGAGCCCTCTTAACCTCCCTTTCTTCAAATCAGAGCTCAACTTTTATAGATGCTCTCTCCCTATGGCAGTGGTTTCACCTAGCATCCCACACTAAGGGAGGTGGGAAATATACCTTCAATCAATAGAAGAAGTGACTTCTGAGATTATTAAGATCTGAGTTTGACTGCAGGTGTTCCTACACATTCTCAGCACCTTTCAGTAAATGCTGGCATTCACCATATTGGAGGACAGGGGGAGCCTTCATCTATAACCAGATCTGAGACAACAGTGTTTTAGTTTTCAAAAATTGAGCAGGAAATAGGAACCCAAGCTGCCCGTCACCTGGGAGCACGTGGTAATACAATCTTAGTGAGTACTAAGCTCCTCCTATCTGCAAAGAGAAGTGGCTACTGCAGGGTGCTGATGTAATTGTCTGTGGGACCACAGAGGTGCTAAGAGATGCACTTTTCAAAGTACCTGTGGTTTGTTTTAGAAGAGCCTGGCCGTTTTTAATAGCTTGATCTACATTCTTCTTTCTATTAACAATTTCTTCATTTAAAGCCTGAAAGGAAAGAATACCATTAATCCTAAAACTATGGCACAACAAAGGGAAAGAAATGTGACCCCTTTAAGAGACCAAATTTAAAGTAAAGAGGTCAATACCAGTTTAGTTTAAACATGAGATATTTGATTCCTTCATTTTCTCTTTGGTTACCCCCTTCTTTAATTACTCAAAACAATGAAATCAGCTACTTATAGGCAAACTTTCCTTTGATGAGAAGAGATTTAGGACTAAATCCACTTTACTAATCTATTGGTACCAAACGTGAACCCAAGAAAGGTAGAAGTAGAATTCAGCAAAAATGTCTACTATGTCCAAAATAAAGAATAAGGCGGAAAGTTCAACAGAAGAAAGTCAGCAAGAACGGGCTGACTTAAATCAGGATCCTGGTTAAAAACTCTCAATATCTGAAGTCAACGAAGCAGAAGAATCTAAGATTATTAAAACCCAAAAACTGCTTTGCTGATTTTTACCATCCCCAAGGAAATGTCACAAAAACGAAAACAAAAAGGGGCAAATTGTTGTTTCTACTCAGATGACACAGAATCCCTGGAATTTGAGTATATAAATTCTAGAACCATTAAAAAACCCTAGGCACTACTATTTAGGTAATCTGGTTTTGTTACAGAACATTCTTTCACATAACTGCTCAAGCGGAAACTGAATGATAATTCCTTGATGATGTAAAACATGAGTTGGAATTGAGATGGCCCGATTACATTCTGGATCATCTTCTAGGATTATTGATTCGGTCTGTTAAGTACAAGTATTTCCATGTAAATCATCAAAAAATAGATTAGTCCAGTCTGTAAAACTATGCACTTGTGTATAAAATAAAGTTGAAATGTTTGGAATTTAAAAAAAGAGAGAGAAATGAAGAGAAACATGAATCAAAATTACAAAATAACTTAGTAACATAATAAGAATGGAAAACACGAATACCAGGTGGTCAGCATGCTGCTTCTGCAGGACATCCTGTCTGTAATCCTTTACGAACACTGAACTGAGCTTGTCCTCAACCTCAGCCAGCCAGTTGAGCACCTCCACCTCATCCTCCCCGAACAGCCTAGCGTTAGACAGTGCTTGTTCAAGCAGGGCTGCTTTCCGACAGCACCGGTCTTGAATCTCACTGAATCGGGCCTGCAATGAGTCTAGCTTTTCAGACAGTACACCCTGCTCTGCAGAACATGTCAGGGAGGAGAGGGACTGCCCAATTTTGACTGCCTGGTGCACATCTGTTGCATGGCTTTCTATTTCTTCCTCCAGAGCCTGGAAATCCAGATGGAAAAAATGAATAACAGAAACAAAATAAATGAAAAGTAGACATGAAACAATGAATCACAAATGATATAATAATAATATAAAAGTTCACCTACTGAAGGGCAAAAATAACATAGAAACAGAGAACAAAAGCTGTTCTTCCTGATAGCAGCCTATTAGGCCATTTCTATTTTTACTTCAAGAATGTGACTAGTCCAATTAATAACTGGACCATATTTTAAATTAAACTTATTAAAAAAACCCCACAAAACACATCTTATAGAATGCTGCAGGCAGTTTTCTAGGATTTCTGGTTCCAGTTCTGTGTTTTCATTTACCGTAACTACTTCTTACCTTGTGCCGAACAATCTGCTGCTGTATTTTGGCAGTCTGAGTGCCAACAGGTTCTGAGTTAGCGAGCTTTTTCTCTGTGACAGATAAGAAGTCAGAAATAGGCTCAGCTGTCTCATGGAATTGTTTGGCCAGAACCAGGATATCTTCCAGCTGTTTTTGCCTACACAAATATATAGAACAAGCTGCTCAGGCAAAAAGTCACATTAAGACTGATAATAGTACTATATTCAGTAAAAGGCCAATCTTAATGAGGCACATTTGAAATATCAATAGTAAACAGAACACACATAAACAGTACTTTGCTGTTTTAAAGGCTTTCATAAGCAGTACCTTATTTTGATTCTGTCATGCCCTTGTAAGGTAGGCAGAATTATCCCACTATTACAAAAGAGAAAAACAACCCTGAAGGCTTAAAGAAAGATCTGTCCAGGTCGCCCACTGGGTAGCAATAGTACAATGAGGATTATAATCAGACCTTCTACTACTCTGTCTCCTATTGGATGTGGCACGTGCATCCTCTGTACAGGTGACCAAAATAAAGTTTAAAGGAGTAAAAAAAAATCATCAGTTTTCATTTCTCTTTCCCCATCACTGCTACCTTCACTTGTGAGTGAAGAGAAGAGAGAGCATTTGAAGAACAAAGGCAGACCAAGCTATGAATGAGAACCCCCCTTCCTATCTCCCCCAATCCAGTCAGGCTTCTAGTAATTTCAAGCCCCACAGCATAACTTTGAATTCTGATTCAAGGCAAAAAATGACCTCAAACTAGCTGAATTTGCCAAGGCAAACAGCAGCCAAAAGATCTATGGACTTTATAAATGGAATCTTAAATCTGGAATCTTATTTAATGTAACATCCACACTTAGCTTGGATTTCAAATACCCTGCAGATTAAAATCAGCAAATTACAAAAGGAGAGAGGAAGCCTGAATGCTGGAGGCAGCCTAATAAGCAACAGACAGAAAAACCACCGCAGAGCTGTATGAGCACACAGATTAACAATCAAAGGCCATGACGATGACGCTGGAGCATTAAAAACAGACTCAGTGCTATGTCATCTGAAAAGGCCCTGGAAGCATGTGACTTTTATTTCAGAAAACCTTCACTGAACGCCTACTCTGGACAAACTTATCTTAATAAGAAATGATTTAATATAAAGATCTGCCATCTTAATTATCTGGAAATTTAATTATGCTCGAGTATAAAGAAAAATATATTTCTAGATGCTATTTTTAAATGTCAATATAAAGTATAGAACTTCCTTTCTTAGTTTATGTCCACTTGCAAAATACATCTTGAATTAATAATACAACTAAAACATATAATCTTAAATATTATTAATCAAGAATTTCATTTTTAAAATATTGCTTGGTGGGTTATTTTAATTGGTTAATGACCTGCTTATAGATTTTATTCTTTTTTTTAAAAAGAATAAAATACTATATTTTATACTGGAGTATAGTTGAGTAACAATGTTGTGTTAGTTTCAGGTGTACAACAAAGTGATTCAGTTATACATATATATGTACCTGTTCTTTTTTAAATTCTAAATTTAAAAAATTTCATTCTTAAAAAAATTGCCCCTAATTTCTATGTCTTTCTTACTCACCTCTGATTTTGGAATCTGAAAGTTTGAAGAAATCAATGTAATAGGATTTGGGGTAGCAAAGAGAAGAGCTAAAATAATTTAGAGGCATCGAAAAACCAGTATTAAAGAATCTAAACAAAAGTCTTTAGGATGTCTACAACAAATGACACTGCTCTTGGTATTTCTCTTTAAAATATTGGCTCAGAAACTGTGTTAGACTAGGAGGATGGAAGCAAGTAGGGTAGAAGGAAAGAGTCATAAAAAGATACATTAGGAACAAACCATGACTTTAGTGAGCTTAAGGATCTAGGAGATAAGTACATAAAATAATGACCATAATACAAGGTACAGATGATGAGTTATGGCAGTTAAGATGAAAGTGAAATTGTTCTATGCTTGGGGAATAAAGAAAACCTTCATAAAAGCAGGGGAGATGAATAGAAGTATTTCATGGAAGATGCAACACCATCAGCAAAGACAGAATTAGGGAACTGACAGAAGATACTGAAGAACCGAATACTGTTTACTGTGCCCACAAGGAATGAGAATAGTGGAAACTAAGAAAGGTAGGTTAGGGCCAAACAGTAGAGGGCTTTGAATGTTGGATTAAAGAGACTTTATTTTATAGGCAACGGGGAGTCATTAAATGTCTCTGAGCGTGCAAAGAGGGGAAGGCTTGAGGGTAAGCAGCAGTAGAGTGATGATCAGGTGAGCCACCTCATGGGAACTAGCCTAAGTGAGAGTTTGTAAGTCATGAACTGAGGCGAGTGGGAATTAGAGAAATGGACAGAAAGGAAAGACACTGTAGAAGTGAAATGGACAGAATTTAGCATCCTGATAGATATGGGACACAAAGCAGGGGGAAAAAAGGGTAAAAAATGAGGTTGAGGTTTTAAGCCTAGGAAACTGGAAGGTTAATGGTGCTATTAGTGGAAATGGATAGAGAGACAGAAGAAAAGTGGTGCAATTTGGAAATGAAAATAAGTTGAATTCTTTCATTTGTTTCTCCCACTAACGTGGAGCAAGCAAATACTTTGTAGCTCAGATAAGAAATAAGCAAGCCATGGATGGGTAGAAGTAAAGAGACTGAAGAGGAGGTTATCTGAAGACGGCCCGTGGCTACCTAGGTAATACATGATCAGCTCTACAACTCTCATACTGATTTCTGATTAGTTATCATTTATTTTTAAAACTGAGAACAGTATAAGCTAAAAGTGAAGACATGGTGTGACTTATTAAAAGCTCAAGTGACACTGGGCTAACTTATAGCTATGGAAAGAGAAAGCACTTCCTTGGAGAAGAAAAGTATACTGCCTGTCTCGTGGCCATTTAGTGAAGAAAGTCCATGCATCTCTTGAATGCTCATTTAACAGAACCACAGACTAGCTCCTAGATGTAAGAACATCTAATATTAGGATAAGCTAACAGAAAAGAACATGATAAATTTCAATTCCAAGTATCGAAAACATTATTTATAAATATGAATGGAAAAAATCTGTTTCCAAAACTCAGAAAATAACTTGGCTGGATTGTACGAGTCTGCGTCTGCTGTTTGGAACCAAGATTATATTGCAACAGAACACCACCAAAGAGCAATGAGTCTTCCAGGTCTCAGAAATTTATGGAGTAGCTGAGGCTCATTTCCTGAGTTACTCTGGTTATGAGGATCACCTCTAAAAACTTATCTCTCTTCAAGACAAAAGCCGTTAAACACCTACCAAAGCACTGTATGAATCATCCAGGGGCTTTTAGAGCACCTCAGTGACACAAGTCAGAAACCGCCTCGGACCTATATTCCTCAAAACCCCAGTGGCTTTACCTGGCTGCTGCCTTGCTGAGTAGTCCTGTCCATCTAGTTTCAAGACTCTCCAACTGCGCAGTGATCTTCTCTCTATCAGCCCGCTCAGCTGCCTGGGCTATTCTGCCTCCTTCTGCTTGAAGCATGTCTACTGTGGCCTTTCGATCATCTAGGAGCCGCTGGAGCAACTGATGTACATGTTTAAAAGGAATGAAAAGTGATAACATGGGGTCACTTTAAAATCTGAAACAAGGAAAACAAACAAAATCCAAAACCTCACCCCACTGAGCCCTAAGTTTAATTGAATAATGAAGTTTTTTTTTTCATCCTAAGGCAAAAACATGAGATATAATTCCTACCACCCATATAAACTTTTCATACACTTAGGGTTTTAAATGGAGCAGTGACTATCATTATGTGACTGATACGGAACTTAGTTTGAACCAGGAGAAAAAGGCACTGAAATGGAAATTAAACCCAAAATATATACATATATAGATAGAACCTTATACATGATATACATTATTTAAATATTGCTGACCCAAAAAACACTAAAAACCTCTTAAGATAAAGTGGTGACTGAAACACTGAAATAGGATAAGTGAACAAGCAAAATGGTTCAGTTCGATACATGTCATGGTAATCTAGGAGATTATAAAGTAAGATGATGAAAATCAATTTCTGTCTTTCTTTTCTGGATCACACAAGGTAGGTTAGGATTCTACTAAAACTCCTGAATATGCTCCTGAAACCATAAGCAAATGTGTTGTCTGTCATTCCCTACGGCTGTTACAGTTCACTGCTCCAACATTCTCACTTACCTTCTGTTCTTGGATCTGTGCTTTCACCACTTTATACTCAGCAGATGGGGGTTTCTGATTGGCTATGAGCTCCTCAGTGTCTGCCAACCAGCTGAGCAACGGCTCCAAGGCATCTTGGAACTTCCCACAATGCAACAAAGCCTCCTGGAGTTGTGCGATTCTTTGTGCAACCTGTATCACAGACATGGAGGTTCATTACGAGAAAGGAGAGAGCTTTTAAATGACTACTCACCTCTTTTTGTAACTACAGACTGGAACTGCAAATTTTTATTTGCATTCAGGTGCCAGGGAAACCAGAGATTGCAATGTCTCTTTTCTCTCCCCTCCATCCCCAGTATACTCACCTTTTTATTCAATGTGTTCCACCGAGCGTTGATCTCTTCCATGTCATGTTCCAAACCCTGCACATCACAGTTTTTTCCGGCACTCTGGATCAAACCCTGGCCGAGTCCATTCACCTGCTGTAGTTTCATCTGAAGAGGATCCACCTGTTCTTTCTGAAACATCTAGATAATTGTAAGCCAAAGAAGATTTAATCTAAAGGCAATGAGATCCTCTACACCACACAGCGACTGGTTATTCTTGGGAGATTTATGATTTAACAAGGGAGGGCCAGGAATAACAAGAGAAAACAAGCCATTTGTACAGGAAAGGATCAAGGAAACGTGGTTTCATATTTCAATACATACATTCTCTTATGGACAAGTAATTACAGAGAGTTACAGCACTACTTAGGCATTTAACTCAATGACTCATGGTTTGTTTTTGTTTGTTTTTTAATCTTCTTAATTTTTAATGCAAAAAGCTATAGAGAATAAAAGCAGCACCAGCCTCAAGATATCATGAAAGTGTGATGCATATCAGTCCTAAAAGTGAAGACTGACTAGTATTTAAGATTAAAAATACCTTGGGGAATAGCTTTAATTGACCACTGATACATGCAAGGCTCTTCTCTGACTTGGACTAATAACTCAATTAGCCAAAACATATTAATGGTGTGAAGAACACCAACCTCATAGCTTAATCCCCCTGTGGCTATTTAACTCCATTCTGTTCCAAGGCCACAGACCACACACAGCCAATAATCTTGAAATAGTATTCTTCTGATTACAAAGGGAAATGGGCCAGTAATACTGGGAGATGTCCTTAACAACTTCAGGCACCTACTCTGAGTAAGATGCAGGTATACATAAAATATTTTTAAAATAATGATACTATATATCCATGTTCACCATGAAACAATGGAATTTTAAAACAATATGAACAAGTGTAACAAGCAATGTGCATGTTTCTTTCTAATGCAGTCAAGGTCCATTATTACTTGGAACTTTCTAAAAGGAAACAAAGAGTCACAAGAGAACAGTACTTTTGCCACTCTAATGGTATTAAGGAAAAGAATGAGATAAATATTTGTCCCTAAGATCAGATTTCTCTCAATTATCAGAGGATAAAATGAGCCATATTTCCACTAGTCTAGATCTATTTCCATTCTTTTCTCTTCCATAAAAAGTTCCTTCAGTTTCAGTGAGACAGGTGAGCCAATTAAAGCCAAAGAATGACAGAAAATCGAAGAGGACAAAAATAAATGTGAAAGAAAATTATAAGTTTGGGTAAGACTGATTTTGGCCTATGTGAGACCACAGATCACACTAGGATTAGGAAACTGATTCTAGCAAGAGTGGTCTGTGGCTGAACAAGTGAGTCACCAGGGAGGAAAGGCTCCAGGGAACACTGAAAAAGGAAGGTTATACAGGTACTCACCAGTGGGCTTCATTTTACACTATAATCCGACTACACCATATTTTGTTAGGCAACACTACAAGGCAGTTCAGTTAAAAATGACTGTTACTCCGACAGCATGGTTCCCAGAGAAAGCAAGTGCTATGATTCTATTTTGTGTTAAAGATGTTTTCACTGCAGAAAAATCAGAGCAGAGGGGGGAAAAACAACTCCCACAGCTTAAGCTGCTTGAGTGCAACAAAACGGCTGTGGGGCAGGGGTTGGAAAGGCAAAGAAAGCAGAAATGCCTAAGGTACAGAGAGAAGATGTCAAGTCCACACTGAAGAGCCCCCTTTTACTCAGTAGTTAAATCCTGTCTCATGCTATGACTGACATTTAATTTTTTCTCTGTTGTGCCAATATGGTAGCCAACAGCTACTTGTGGCTCTTTAACTAGAAATTCAGTTCCTCAACCACACTAGCCACATTTCATCGGGTCAACAGCCACGTGTGGCTAGGGCCTAATATATTGGGCAACACAGAGAATACCTCCTCTCCTGGCAAGAAGCTCTACGGGCTATCAATGTAAATGACACAGAAAAGCAAAAATAAAATTTAAATAGCTTAACAATCTCTTTCATATAACACAGCGAATTCTTTTCTTAAAATTTGGATTTACTTTGTTCGTGAAGACTTCACATAGAAGCATTAGAGGTTACTTCAGTTCCCATGCCCACTCTATGGATTAAGTTGACAGGGAATTGGTATTTGTCTCATTTTTTTCCCCAGAAGTTAAAAAATATATGAAAGTGCCTCTAGATACTAAGTACTGTTTAAATATTTATACTGAACACCAGTGAACAGAATGTTAAAGAAAGTAAATTTGAAAACACTTGCTCCTTTTCTCTCAACTCCCAAATAAAGCTGTTGTGCAAAACCAGTGCTTTTAGGATACATTAAATTCCTACTCCTTATTATTTCAGTGGGACTGTGCTATGTTATTAACTAACCAGTGCTCGCAGACATTTCCCAGAGCGGAACACTAGTAAAAATTATTGCAAGGCCGTAAGATGCAACAGGGACATAAAACAGAAAACTTCCCAAAGAACTTCTTCAAATGCTTTTATCTTTGGTAACACCACAGTCTCCCAGTTTTCATCCTGACTGATCCTTTGTTGATGTCCTTTGCCCGCTTCCTCTTCTACATCTCCAAATGTTAGCCTTTGTGGGTAGGGATAAGAGTAGCACGTCAGTCCTGAGCCCTCTTCTCATTCCACACTCTCCTCTAAGCAATTCTATCCATTCCTACGGCTTTAAATACTTACCATGATAAATGCTCATCACTCTAAAATTTATAAATATCTTTTGAATTTCAAATCTGGATATCCAACTACTTGCTTAATATTGCCATACAAATGAATCACAGGCATCTTGAACTTAACCATTCCAAAATCGAACCTGCTAATTTCCTCTTCCCCAAGTCTGTTCTTCCCTAAGCAATTTACTACCGCCCCCATTGTATGGCTGTGAGCATAACTGACGCCATTTTGGGCCCTTAGAGCTTCTCGCATCCTTTTGCTGACCCAACCCAGGACTGTACCGTACAGTAAATCACTTCTCTGTTGTCACGGGCTTTGTAGATAATAGATATTGTTTAATAATCATCAGGACCCAGTAGCCCCTATGCTCTGTTAGTCCCCAAACAATGACGAAAACCTTCACGGACATATATTCCTGGCGCCCATGAGACTAGTACCCATTCATAAATCTTGACTTAGGAATGCACGTCCTGTTTCCAAGCACCTGCTGCCCCCACCCCATAAACCCCAGACCCTAGGTTAACTGTAGAATTGTCCCAGTGGCCCCCTGGGCGGTGCAGAGTACAGCTGCGAATGCTTCGAGTTGTTGTCTGTCTAATCTCACCCTGACAGTAAGTTACCCTGTAATAAACTGATCCATTGATTATATGGAGCTACCTGCCTCCTTTTTTGGTCTCAAGATGCCTTCTCGGTTTAATGAGTACTTTTTGTTCCCTCCACCCTCCAACACCCATCCACTCAGTTGTGCAAACCAGAACTAGAAGCCATCTTTGATAACTCCCCCTCACTCCCTCCCAATATGAAAGCCATTATCAGGTCTTACTGATTCTGCCTCCAAACTGTATCTTAGATCCATCCAATTGTCTTCAAATCCACTGACATCTCTCTAGTCCAAGCCACCTGGACAATTGCAGTAATCTAGCAGGCTTGTTTACTCTGTCCTTGATCCCCTGCAATCCACTCTAAACACAGTAGCCAGTGTGATTTTTTTTTTTAAAGTTGCAAACCACTCTGTGTTTTCTGTATTCCATGTCAATAATCATAATACGAACTAACAAATATAAGACAAAAGAAATCTGAGAATTATAAACCCCGGATAATGTTGAGAATGTTTACTGTCAGTGTGAACCAGTTTTCTCTATCTTTAAGCTGAGAGACATCTTTTAAAAAACGTAAATGAAATCATTTCACTCCCCTACTTAAAATCTTTCAATAGCTTCTTACGGCTCTTAAGGTAGAAATCCTTTTGAGGACTTCTTTCTCAGCCCCTGCATCATCTGGCCCCTTCCTAACTCTCCAGGTTTACTGCAAGGCACTCTTCCGGAACCCTTGCTCACTGTGGTCAAGCCACTTGGCTTTCTTTTAGCTCTAACATGCCAAGCTCTTCCCAGTTACCATTTCCTTTGTCTGGAATGCTCTTCCCTCTGACTCTCTAAGTAACTAAATAACTTATCCTTCAGGTTTTAGTTTTAAAATTCCTTCCCTGACACCACAATTGAAGTTAAATACCCCTATTGTTTCTCATCATAACCTTTATTTTTTATTCAAAGCATTTGCCACATTCGTAACCATGTATTTGTGTCGTTTTTGCTTAATGTCTGCCTCCCCTACTACAGTATAAGTTCCACAAGGGCAGGGACCATGCCGATGCTATTCACTGCAGAAGCCCCAGTGCCTGGCTCAGAGCAGCTACACAATAAATATTTATCCAGTAAATGAATGAATCCTTGCATAGAAATAGTGTTAGAGAAAGCAAACAAATCCATAAAAGTTCTGCTGATCAGCTGAGTATTCAAACACTGAACTGAAGTTGCGGGGCTCCCCAGTTTTTGCTTAAAGAGATTTTCTTGGCAAATTTTAATTTTATAGAACCACTGTTTTATACAAAAGGTTTTTTTCTTCCATTGAACCAATGACTGGAAATAAGACTAAGGAAATCTAAACATGAGGAGAGAGCTTAAATAATCACATATTGTTCTTAGTGGGCCTAGGATCCCACTACAGAAATAGCAAGCAAGTTCTGGCCTTTTGCTTCCTCTATCAAACCTTCTTGCAATTGCAATTGGAAAGCTTTTATCTATTTTAACCATGTATACATGTGTACATTTGTACATACACATGCAAAGGATCTAAAACAGTTCATTTTAAATCATAGATTTTGCAGCTGGGCTACAATTTCCTTCTCCTGTCATTTATATCAGGCAATATTTCATAAAATGACAACCTCCTGTAGCTGGAAGGATCCTTAGAGATTACCTAGCCCCACCTACTCATTTTGTAGATGGGGAAACAGAGATCCCAGAGACTGATATTAAGGGTTTCTCTGAATATTCTTCCTTTATGCAGATGTGACTGGCTCTTTATAATGTAATCCCTATATTTCATTGATTATTGCTGTAGGCTTTATACTAGAAATATTCTGTATAATCAAGAATGCTGGTGACTTTGGATAGGTTGCTGGGATCTTAGTGTCAATCCCAAATTCAGTAAAACTCAGAAAACTGAATCAAATCCCTCAATCTGAAAGGTGATGCATTCTAATTTGATGGGATGCCTAATTACAAAATAACTGGTGAAGCCCAGGTGACACTACCATCACTCAGCTAAGCAGGAGGATCTGTGGCACAGTTGACGGCTTATAGCCTACAATCAAGACGGTTTTTCATTGCTGGCAGCTGCATGTTTAATGGGTCCTCCAGCTAAGGCTGCCCTGGAAGGTTCTGCAATGGGGTGAACCCAGCTTTCTTGCAGCATCCATGGATATTCAGGAGATTAATATTCATCCACTCGCAACAGGGAAGGCATATTATGAAGAAGGCACTGTTTTGGGTCCCGGGGATGGTGTAAAATCAAAACCACCTCCTCAGTCAGTAACCCCTGACTGTATTTGACTAAACTTCTAACTCCTTCACTGCTTACCAGCGACCAAATGACGATAGGACAGTGAACTGCAGAAAGCTGCCACTTTCAAAATCCTTTGACCAAGAATATGCTCAAGGACAGGAAGCCTGGGAAGAGGGTTCACAACACATTCTGTTTTCTAACATCAGGAATCTCAAAATCCTGGAGCTAAGAGAGACCCAGGAGGACATCAGCCCAATTCTCATTTTATGGATTAAGAAACAAGAGGTCCAGGAAAGGAAAAGTGACTGCTTCAGGATACAAAGTTTGACAAGATGACTAAAATGCCTCTTTTTCATAAATATTATTGTGCCTTATTAGGCTTTTAAAAACACACATTTGTATTAAAAAACTGTTATTCACACATCTACATATGGCTTTCTTCCAACCCGCCTTGGTGAATTCTTTCAACCAACCAACATATCTATTCGAAAGGGAAAGGGTTGGGGGGCTTCCCTGGTGGCTCAGTGGTTAAGAATCCGCCTGGCAAAGCAGGAGACACGAGCCCTGGTCCGGGAAGATCCCACATGCCGTGGAGCAACTAAGCCCCTGCGCCACAGCTACTGAGCCTGAGCTCTAGAGCCCGCAATCCACAACTACTGAGCCCATGTGCCACAATTACTGAAGCCCGCGCGCCTAGAGCCCCTGCTCCACAACAAGAGAAGCCACCACAATGAGAAGCCTGCGCACCACAATGAAGAGTAGCCCCTGCTCGCCGCAACTAGAGAAAGCCCGTGAGCAGCAACAAAGACCCAACGCAGCCATAAATAAATAAATAAATAGATAGATAGAAAGGGAAAGGGGGGGAGCATATTGACAGTAATTGAAATCTTCTATGTTTGGTGCGTTGACTGGATTATCTCATTTTATCCTCACAACCCTCATAGGGTTCTTCTGCCTTAACAAATGAAGAAACTGGAGCCTCAGGACATTTAACTGTCTTAGAGTGGTTAAAAAGTACTCCAGGTCTCACTCCAAAGTCCACATTCTAGCCTCTACCTGACTGCTGACATCACCGATGAATAAGCAGCCTCTTGATTTAGGAAAGAACATGCTTATTGTAAAATTCAAAAGCAGAATCACCCTTTCTTGTTAATAATCTTTTTCAAAATGTAAGCCAAAAACTGTTTACATCCCTGTTTTCTTTGGGTTTTGCTTATGTCTGAATTAAAAACAATGAGAGAGTCTGAATTATGAAGTTTTTCAGCAGATAAAAACACATTTTCCCCATAAACTCAATAAAAAGACCAAAAAAGCCCAGGAAAGCCCAGACACCTCAAAGGGAACCAAAGAAAGAACAATCTGTGCCCTTTCTAATCACCACCAAGTCAGAGAACTTGCAAATCTCACTTTACTCTCCAGATCCTTCCCCAACAACATGAGCAACAATTACCTCATTTGAATTTAATCCATCAACTGCAGCCAGAGGCACTTTCCCATGCAGCACTGTGCCAGTCACCTCTTTCATTCCAAATGCTGGGGAATCAAGGTCCTCCTTGATCCACATTCCAGCAGGGGAAGCCTCCTCTAGAACAGGACTTCCTTCTTCTAAGACAGGCACTGAGTCAGTATGGGCAGTATCTCCCTGGAAGGGTACGCCAGCAGGGAATACTTCCTCCACAACAGGCACTGCAGCAGCCGGGGCAGCAGGCTCCCCTGGGGTGGGCACTGCAGCAGTAGGGGCAGCAGGCTCCCCTGGGGTGGGCACTGCAGCAGCTGGGGTGGCAGGCTCCTCCGGGGTGGACACTGCAGCAGCTAGGGCTGCAAACTCCCCTGGGGTGGGCACTGCAGCAGCTGGGGCTGCAGACTCCTCTGGGGTGGGCACCACAGTAGTGGGAGGTGCAGGCTCCTCTC